AAATTCCCTGTGCTCTACCTCCTGCCTCCTTCCAGCCCCTGGCAACCACTAATCTTTCTACTGTCTCCATAGTTTTGCCTTTTCCAGAATGTTAAATAGACGGAATCACACATATGTAGCCTTTTCAGATTGGCTTCTCTCACTTAGTAATATGCATTTAAGTTTCCTCCATGTTTTTTCATGACTTGAGAGTTCATTTCTTTTTAGTGCTAAATGCTGTTCCATTGTCTGGTGTACCACAGTTTATTTATCCATTCACCTGCTGCTTCCATTCACCATCTCAGTTGCTTCCAAGTTTTGTCAATTATGAATAAAGTTGCTATAAACATCCACATGCAGATTTCTGTGTGAACAAAAGTTTTCAGCTAATTTGGGTAAATTCCAAGGAGTGTGAGTGCTGGTAAATAGTTAGAAACAGTAAATAGCTGGTAGAGTGTGTTTAGTTTTATATGAAAATTCAAAGTGTTTTCCACGATGGTTATACCATTTGGTTTCTCTTTATTGTTTTAATGTTAAAATTTTACCTGGATATAACTAGATGATCTGGCCTCTTTAAATAGTTTCCTTAAGCAGAGTGTGGTGGCTCACACCTATAATCGCAGCACTTTGGAGGCCAAATTGGGAGGATTGCTTGAACCCAGGAGTTCAAGACCAGCCTGGACAACATGGCAAAACGCTGTCTCCACAAAAAAATTAAAAAAAAATTAGCCAGCATGATGGGATCCGCCTGTAGTCCCAGCTACTTGAGAGGCTGAGGTGGGAGGATCACCTGAGCTCAGGAGGTCGAGGCTGCAGTGAGCCAACTGTGATTGTGCCACTGCACTCCAGCCTGGGTGACAGAATGAGACCCTGTCTCTAAATAGATAGATAGGTAGATAGATAGATAGTTTGCTGAGTACTAAGTCACTTTTTGATCTAAGGAGTTAATTCTTCAAGTCAGGAAATTTTCTTTATATTTCTTTCATGATTGTTTCTCCATGGGCTCTATTTTCTATTTCTGGAATGCCTGTTATATAGGTGTATTTGATTTCTGGATTTTTCTTTTCTTTCTCTCTCTTTTAATCTATTTATTTATTTCTGAGTTATAGGGAAGGTTCTCGAAGCAGTCTTTCCAGATTTGGTTTTTAACTGGAAAATAAATTTCCTGTTTTTGCATATTTTCCATATTCATACATAGACTGACTTTTGGAATTGTATTTACAATATAAATTACGGAATTTTACTGTTTTTGTTTCTTAGATTCTAGTTACCCTAATGATAAAGATACAACAACTTACATCTTTTTTTGTATGTCTAGATATTATTACATATTTGTTCACTTTATGGAGGGACCTAGATCTACATATGTTTGGAATTGAGATTTGAAATGGGCCCTCTGAAAGATATATAGATCATTTTCAAACATGTTGGTTCCAGGCAATGGAAAAAGAAGAAAAATGGAATATTTATAGTTTAGTTTTCTAGATTGGGAGATCCCATCGACCATGATTAGGGCAGGGAGAGCTTCTGAGAACAGGAGAGAAATTTGCTGTTCTGCTCTGCAACTTGTTTTCACTATTTGTTGAGGTAGTCCAAGGTTGGCTGGAAGAATGTCCCCCCTTCTCTAACTGGCACGAGCACCTGGGTTAGAAACCTGCTGGCCAATGTCCCTACTTTTCTGTGCAAACCAAAAGACGAACTGAGCCTTGGCTACCTTCTCTGTGAGTAGGCATTCGCAGTTCCCAAGGTTGCTCAATTTGTTTCCCGCTTATGCCCATCTCAGCCTTGTTCCTAGTCCTGGCTGTCTACTATGGGGCTTTAGGGAGGCTCTCCTGGGGCATATCCTCCATTATGTCCCAGGAATGTCCTTCTTTAGTCAATACACCCATCAGCTTGGCTCCATTTGTACTGTATCTTGTTGAAATTCCTTAAAGTTTGTGGGCCAGTAATTTGATTTTTTTTATTGATTTCTGGTGTGGAATAGGATTTTCCCTCTTTTGCCTCTTTGTCTATTTTAATAGGAACTTGGAATAGAGAGGATTTAAATGCATGGGTACAAATTATGATCTATAAACAACCATCAGATACTGTAACTTTTGACAGGTCAGAATACAAAACTGATTTATTTACAGTGTCACCACTAGGTGGTGCCACCAATTAGTGAAAACAATGTGGTTGCTATGGCTAGATTGCCAAGAACCACCTGCAGCTACTACAAGCACAAGTTTGAGTTGTCTGGAACTTGTATTCACCTGTGCATATTTACATGTGTGTGTGCACACACAATTATTGGTGTATGAGTTTTCCTACAGAGCAATGTTGATTTACAAGCATGTGCATGAGTCTGTGTACCCTGGAAATATGGGCATGAAGCTAAATAATATGAGTTTCAAAAAGCTTACCCATCAGCTGTGTGGTCTAGAACTCCCGTTCCTTGGCTAGGAAGTCCCAACCCTGGGGAAGAAATACAATGACAAGCTTTTCTGAGGCGGGGGATCCGGAAATACAGCCACAGCGTCCTTAAAGTTATCAGTCCTGCAAACCCTTGTGTACAGTGTACAGTCAAGCCTCCAAGAAGGTCTCTGTCACTTTTTTTTTTTTTTGAGACAGGGTCTTGCTCTGTTGCTCAGGCTGGAGCACCGTGGTATGATCTCAGTTCACTGCTGTCTCAACTCCCCAGGCGCAAGCAATCCTCCTGCCTCAGCCTCCTGAATAGCTGGGATTATAGACATGTGCCACCATGCTCAGCTAATCTTCTGTAATTTTTAAAGAGACAGGGTTTTGCCATGTTGCTCAGGCTGGTCTTGAACTCCTGGGCTCAAATGATTCACCCCCCTCCGCCTCCCCAAATGCTGTGATTACAGGCTACTGCACCTGGCTGTGTCACTTCTTAACATTTATGCCTGGTGTTCCATTATTGGAACGCTAAGCATGTGGGAGTTATTTTTATCCTACTGATCAAGGTCATTGCCAAGGTCTGATTGCAAAAATTCAAAACATTGCAAACTTAGGCATAAATGGGTTAAGTCACGGAGGACTGTATTCTCAATGGCTGTCCCTCATTGCCCCCATGAGTGCCCAAAGCATCTAATCAAATGTTCACTTTGGGATCCTACTACCCAGATGGGGAGTGAACCTGCACCTAATGAAACAGATGCCATGTGTATGTGTATGTGTTAGGGGGCCCCCCAACCCCTGCGCCCTCCAGGTTTATTCGCATCTCCACCTCATCTTCCCACTGTCTCTGTGGAAGGCCCTGCTGATCTCAGGCTCTCACTCTGGACGGCTCCCTCACTGCAGGGACAGTACTCTGTTGAGTACCTGCTGTCTAGATTAGCACATAAGGCCGGGGGAACTTAGGGAAGTCTTTCCCTTCTCTGGCCTCAGTTTCTCCATCTGTCAGTGAAGGCTGGGTCTGGGTGATTCCAAGGGGCCCTTTTTGCTGATTGAAGTTCTTCAGGTTCATAGTTGTAAGGTCCTGCCCCGCTGCCAGCGGCTGGTGTGGGGTGGGAGTCTTCTTGGAGAAGTTCTGAGGACGAAAATCCCCGGTTTGGCTTCCTCCTCCTCCTCACAGCAGACTTCCCTGCTTAACTTCCCTAGGGAAGGCAGCCAGGCTCCCAGGGCCCCAGGAGTCTGCAGGAGGAGTTCTTATTCCAGCATCATTAAAAGTTCAAGTGGCTCCCCCAAGGGCCAAAGAAGTGCCAGGATTCATTAAACCTGCTGCCCCCTGAGCCCAATTTGGTTGAAGGGAATGTTTAGCCTTTTCATCTGCTGAGGGTTTTCATTAAGGGTTTCAGGCCTCCCTGAGAGAACTCACCTCAGATTGAGGTCAGAGGGGGAAGGGTCCCTGGAGGTCACTTCTTGCCCTGGGAGTTCTGCAGAGGAGACAGGCTGGGTCAGGGCGAGGGGTTTGCCCAACATCACAGGGTGGAGGTGCCACCAGAACTCAGAGAACCAGCCCTGCGGTGTCTGCTGACATTCCTCCAGGTGGCGGGGAAGTGAGCCTGGAGGGAGGGGCTGGGGACTCAGCCTGGAGGGACCCTGCAGAGGCAGACACAGAGCTGGGGCTTTGGGGAGCCCCGCTGCATGTGAGGAAGGGCTTGGAGAACAGCCCAGCATGCCCACAGCAGAAAGGGTTGCCAGAGAGACAATGAGCACCTGTGGCTGAGGCCTGTCAGCAGGATGGGGCGGCGCCTCCCAGGAGGAACACAGAGGATCTGGGCCTAGCGGGTGGGCTTGGAGGGAGAGTCAGTACCGCTCAGATCCTGCCGCTCTGTAAATGCTCCACTGGGTAGGACTGGCACTCACCACTGCTGGGCAGGGAGGGTGTGACAGAGCAAGGAACATGCCATTTATGGCCAGTTGAGACTGCTGAACTGGGAACCAGGAGGCTGGGCCTGTGCCTGCCCTCTCTGAGCTCAGTGGCCTCCTTCTTGCCTCCCAGCAAACTTGGGCGGACACCCAGACCCTCCTGCCTCCCAGCACAAGCCGGATGGAGGACCTCCCTGGATGGCAAAATCTGCCTACGGTGCCTCCCTGAGCTTCTCAAGCTCACTGAGCTCAGGATGGCTCATCTGACAGAGCCTGACTCAGCCCCGGAGGGCTCTGCAGGCTGCAGGACAGGGAATCACAGACTCTCAGACGACAGTGTCTCCTGAGCCATGGAGTCCATTGCAGTAATATCAATGGCAAACGTGTGACAGGAGCTGGTGTTGCTGATTTATGCATCTCAACTCCTTTAGTCCTCAGAACACCCTATTAAGGAAGGAACTGTTAGCAGCCATTTTACAGAAGAGGAAACAAAGGACAGAGAGGTTAAGTAACTTGTGCACAATCTCACAGCAAAAGAGTTGTCTGGCTCCAAAGCCCGTGTTGTTCATCTCTGTTCCACACAGTCTCTGAGAGCAGACTGAAACCCGGAGAGGGAAAGTCACTGAGCCAGGGAGCAGGAGGATTTCTTTCCTCTAGACTCAGGGCTCCTCCCTCAACCAGATCCATCCTGACAGCTCCTCTGTCTCCACCCGGCCTCCCTGCCAGGCCTCCTCAGAGTTAACAGCAGCCTGGCTTCACCCTTGGCCAGCAGTTGCAAGTCCAAACAGGCTTCGCCCACATTCCCTGGCTGCTCTCCAGCCCGCAGCGGAGACAACAAAGTTCAGTGACTGAGAGGGCTGAGCGGAGGCTGCTGAAGGGGAGAAAGGAGTGAGGAGCTGCTGGGGAGAGAGGGACTGTCTGGCTCCCAGATGCTGGGCCTCCTGGGGAGCACGGCCCTCGTGGGATGGATCACAGGCGCTGCTGTGGCGGTTCTGCTGCTACTGTTGCTGCTGGCCACTTGCCTTTTCCATGGACGGCGGGACTGTGACGTGGAGAGGAACCGTATAGCTGCAGGGGGAAACCGAGTCCGCCGGGCCCAGCCTTGGCCCTTCCGGCGGCGGGGCCACCTGGGAATCTTCTACCATCACCATCATCCTGGCCACGTATCTCACGTGCTGAATGTGGGCCTCCACCACCACCACCCCCGCCACACCCCTCACCACCTCCACCACCACCACCACCACCACCACCACCCCCACCGCCACCACCCCCGCCACACTCGCTGAGGCTGCTGCCGCCGATGCCTATGGACAATAGCTGCCCCTGCCCTGCCATCCGTTCCCAGGACAAGTGGACCCCATGTTTCCATGTGGAAGGATGCGACTCTGGGGTGAATGAGGGGAACAATGGCCTGGGGCTTGCTCTGGCTGCATTTGCATGCTATGCCCCAGTGTACTATGGCAGCAGAGAACAGAAGAACACTGGGGCCTGAAGTGCTGAAGGGTTTGGGGAGTGGAGAGTAAGGGTGCTCTTTTGGGGCTGGACAGCCCACCTTGTGACTGTAACTACCAGTGAGCCCAAGAAGTGACAAGGGTGTCTTGGCAGAGCCAGCACACAAGTGGATGTGAAGTGCCCGTCTTGACCTCCTCATCAGGCCGCTGAAAGGCCTCTGGCGGGCGGGGCACTGGGAGAGGCCCTGAGAATGTCCTTTTGGTTTGGAGAAGGCAGTACGAGGCTGCACAGTCAATTCATCGGTGCCTTAGTCCAAGAAAATAAAAACCACTAAGAAGCTTTTGTGAAGAGGCTCTTGATTGCAGCGGGAGGGAGCTGCCCGGCCTGTGTCCTCATTGCCCTGGGACCTCCCTCTCTGATGGGAAGTGTGTGCCTGGAGCAGGCGGCTTCTGTCTGGGTCTTAGGGGCTGGTTGTGGAGTGGGAAGAATTGGGTGGGCTCTTTCTGAGCTCTGAGGGAGGATTCAGGGTTTGCACAAAACCCTGTCCACAGCAGGTCCTGTGTGCACCAGCAGGGCTCTGGCCTTCCATGGGACAGTCCAGGGCCTTGGGGAGAGGAAGGTTGGAGCCACTGTGAGGCTCGCTTCCCAGGGCTCTGCCCCTGTACTCTTTTCAGCCCATGTCCGGGGCAGACTGAGCTCTGAAACTCGAGGAAGCCCCATCCACCGGCTGCCTTGAATCCACTTTCCTTGGTAACTGGGTCAGGGTTTCTTCTCCAAGCCTTGTGTCTTCAGCCATCCTGCCCCAGTTGGTGCCTGTGGGTGGTGGGAGGGTTGGGAGGCAGCGAGTGGAGTTTTTTAAAGTGGAGTCTGTGGTGCTGGGGTGCAGGGTGTTGGATGGCCTTGGGAGAATGCTGGGGTCTCACTGTCCTCTTCTCTGCAATGGGTTGGATAACAGAGATGCCCCCTTGCCAAAGCCTGGAGGCTCGTTGGAATATGCTCTGTGAACAGCTGGTGGGATCCACAGCGAGGGAGGAAGTCTGGCTCTGAGGCCTTCAGCCTGTGCCTGTGAGATGAGGTGGGAAGTCGGGGGAGATGAGGACTAGGGGCCAGGAGAGGCAGTGGGGAGGGGCCGGAGAGCAGGCCAGAGAGTCAGGGGCCTGGTGACTCACGGGAACAGAATGTCCTCTTTCCTTTCTATTTCCCAGTGGATTCTCTGTGAGGGCTGGAGGAGGAGGGTGTGAGAGAGAGAAGGAGGCAAATTCACACTGATTTCCTCCACCTTAGGTTTCTGGGTTGGGAAAGTGGACCCTAGGCTGCCGTGCAGTGTTGATTTTCTCTGCAGTGTCCTTCAAATCCACCCCCTTCTCCATTCCCATGCCTTGCCTAGCCCAGCCCCCTCCATCTCCCTCCTCGATTCCTGCCATGACTCCTCTGGCTGCTCCCTGCAGCCCTGCCCTTTTCCCAAGTATCTCCAGGCTGATTTCACAGATGAATCAAAGACGGAGAGGAGGTTCCCTGAAAGCCGGAAACAGGAAAGGAAGCCTATGCAGGGCAGGAGAGAACCTGCTGAGTAATCGGCCTTTATTCCAGTTTAAAAATGAGGAACCACTCAGACAATCTGCAGGTGGCCTACAGCTGCATGCACACAGGAAGAACAGGCAATGAGAAGTCAAAGGAACAAATGTTCAAGCTTGAGGCATAGTCCCCTGGTGCCCTCTATCACCCCAGTTAAGGAGGTGATGTTGGTAACTCAATCTGAAACCACAGGCCCTGCAGATCTGCCCATCGTCTCCTTCCTTCTGGCCATCCCAGTTAATACAAATAATCCAAGGAACTGGCTTCCTGTTGCAGCCCACAGCCTGCTCCATGTGGAGGAGGAGCCCACGGCCCAGCTGGTCTCATCATCTCAGAAAAGGGACAGATTGAGAATACGACAGGCCATCGCTTGCTCTGAAAAGCTGCTCTCCCACTCTGTGCAAAGTGCCAGTTTCCTAATACTGGTTCTAAAGCAAGTTCCCTTGGGCCTTGGAGAAACTGAAAAGGCCCCAGGCTGTGTGAACTTGGGCCAGCCCTCTGCCCTTTCTGGCACTTTGCACCCAGATCAGTAAAATCACAGAATCAGATGGTCGCTCTGTGGTCCCACGGTAACTGGAAAGTGCACTGAGCTAGGAGTGGAGGGAGGGCGGTCCCTCCTCAGCCACTGCTGCTTCTGTTAACATGGCTAATTCAGAATAGGCTACAGGCAGGTCATGTAACCTCTATGACCACAGGATCTTTATCTATAAAATGGAGGCTGTATTGCTATCGCTATGCAAGGGTGCTGGGGAGGTTATATGAGATCATGTCTGGTGAGGTCCCATGCCTGGAGTTATTGTTCTCACGACTCTGTTTCCCAGAATAGGGACAAAGTGGGGCTAATAGTCCAGTCTCCTTTCTAGAAGTGGTGGGGGTCTCAGGAGGTGTTGGGTGTGAAAGGGCTCTGACCTGGCAGACTAACTCAGTTGCCTGGGCCTAGCTTATTCCCCTGACCTCCTGGCAGGGAGCAGGGTGGAAATGGCCTGGGGTGCGCCTGATGGGGCAGGATAACTGCTGAGCGGGGGTTGGACAGCTGCAGTGTGGGTCCTGGGCCCTCGCTCACAATTGGAGGAAAGAATTCAGGAAGTGTTCACAGTTGCTCAGACATCTTGGAGCCAAGTTCCAAGTAGGACGGAGGCTGCAGCACCCAGGGAGGAACGCCAAGGTCCCTGGGACAGCCACCAGTCCAGGAGGTCGCAGCACCAGGTACAGCCAGGGCTGGCCCTTGGGAAGCCCAGGGTAAGTCTTCATAGTACAAGAGTGTGAGCAACGGGCTGAGCAGGCAGCAAAGAGGGCGGGTGAGGCCAGCACCTAAGAAGGCTCTTCCGGGACCTCTGGGTAAACAGCCCCACAGTCATGGACAGGGCAGGGATTCCCGGGGAAGAACACGATACTCTATCTAAACTGCATGATCGCAGCGCCATGCAGAAAAGGAGGCCAAATGCAACCTGCCCCTGCCTCCAGCCCTCGCTGAAGGCCCTGGCACCTGGGGTGACCCGTGAGTGTCCCCTGCCTTGCCCAGAGCTGGCGCATGCCTTCCTCCCTCCTCATGTCCCTGCCCCCACGGGCTGGGGAGGCAGCAGATAGGCCAACTGAAGGACTGGCCCAAGGTCCCTCCTGGGGAGGAGCCGGGATACTCCTGCATCCACAGTAGGGGGAGTATTTTGTCTTTGGTCTGAGTGTAACTTGCTCTTGAAATCCGTAGGCGTCACGGGAGGGCCAGGGCTGGCTAGGCTGTCTCTGTGCGACGTCTTCTGACCCCTCCTCTCCACCTCCTCCGTGTCCAGGGAGTCTGTGCTCACGTCTTCCAGGACAGTGCTTCTTCTAGAAGCTGACATGGAGCTGACCACAGCTCTTGGAGGCCTGGCCTGAGGCTTAGAAAATAGACAGAGATCATCTGAGATTTGAGCAGTGGCACCACGTGGCGGTGCCCGATGGCCTGGAGCAGGAGCAACCCAGGGACTCGGAGCAGCATCTTCTTAGGAGACAGAGGGAGGGCCGCCGGAGGAGCACCGGGCACCTGTGATCGCCAAGTGCCTCCTGTTCTGGATGGGAGCGAAGGCTCTGAGAGGACCTAAGGTTGCTCAGCGGGCCATGGAAACGGCAGTGATTGGGGTGGTGGTGGTGCTGTTCGTGGTGACTGTGGCCATCACCTGCGTCCTCTGCTGCTTCAGCTGTGACTCGAGGGCCCAGGATCCTCAGGGGGGCCCTGGCCGCAGCTTCACGGTGGCCACGTTTCGCCAGGAGGCTTCTCTCTTCACAGGGCCTGGTCGCCATGCCCAGCCAGTGCCGAGTGCCCGGGACTTCTGGACCTTCATGTGAGGCCTGAGTCCCCAGGATTTGCTGTGCCGATGGGTCAGACTCACCCACCCCTCAGCAGGCCTTCCTGGGCCTTCCCCTCCTCCCAGAGCCTTCTCCCCGTCCTTCCCCTCCTGTACTGTGAACTTCCTGTTTCCTCCCATTCCAGCCTTCTCTGCCCTCCAGGCTTGGGGATCCTTGTTACTGGGACCCCTGACAGCCCAGCCAGGGTCGACCCACAGGATGGGGCTTAGGAGGGGTCTGAGGAGTGAGTGAACAGACACAGCGCCGGACTGCACAGTCGGCTGGCTTTGCGATCTACACCGGCCACTGAAATATCACTGGAATGTATTGTAAACGGTGTGCCTATGACTCCCACCTGAGCACGCAGCACCCTCGAGTGGCCATTTTTAGAAACCGCTTCTTACTTGCTCTCCCAATTGATTACTTTTGCACATTGCACAGAACCCAACCTGGAGGCCTGCTCCCTGCCAGTTGCCTGAAATCAGCCCTAAAATTCTGAAACCAAAGAGGTGCTTCCTGGGAACAAGTGATTTACTTTAGATTTGAAAATGTATATCCTTTTATGGGCCTTTCCAAATCTGATTTGAAAAACCACAAAAGGAAACAGAAGAGAAAACAAGAGCCACAGAAAGTACAATATGTTTTATTGACAGGAAAGCCAGAAATAAGATTTTTTAAACATATTTTTAATGAGACTTTATTGCTATATTCCAACAGATCACTTCTATTCTTAGAGAATGTGAATGACTTGTGTCACTTCAGAGTGACAGAAAAATCAGGAACCGAAAGATAATTCCAGACAAGTTAAAATGTTATGTTACATTCAGAGCTCTTGTTTTCATCACAAATAAGGAGATACTCAGTTTTTATTAACAGAAAACCCATTCTCCCGTGGCCATGGAATAAATGCTGTGCTATATTTAAGGAATTTGGTTTGAAGGGTGCAAAATTGTGAGCCTCCTGGCTCTTATGTCTGTGTCCAGCCCTGAATAGATGGCTCTCCCAGGACCTGTTTGTTGAGGAGGGCAGGACTGAGCTTTAGGGGGGCTCTGGCCTCTAAGGGTGTTCAGACAGGCTGCCCTTGCCATGTGGCTGCCACGGGAAGGGCTCTCAGAGAGAGTGGCTTGGAGCTGGAGAGGTGTGGGAGCTGGGACGAGGGGGGGGGGGGGGGGGGGCGGGGGCAGGAAGGGGCGGGGAGAGAGTGAAGCTGACAGAGAGGGAAGGGGAGGAGCATGGTGGGCGGGGCTCAGCCCAGGTCCAGGAGGTCCTGGGACCATGTTCTGGACACTCCTGACGCCAGCCCCGCACACAGGGCTCTCAGAGATGCACAGAGAAGGGAACTGGCACGTGTGGGGAGGCCCTGGAGATGGAGGGAAGAGAACTTTTGAGGGCTGTGTTCTCTAAAAGCAACAGTGAGACAAAGTTTGGGTGCAAGATATTTATCACCTTTAAGGGGAAGAAGGAAGAAGCAAGATTGGGTAGAGGAAGAAGTAAAACGGTGATGCAGGTCATTAATATCTCCACAGCTTTGCTCCATCTCTGAGTCTTTCTCCCCTCCCCCAGGGTCTAACCTCAGCCAGGGCAGCTCTCTGCAGCTGAGGCAGGCCTCGAAGTCCTTCCTTTCTATTTTATTATTATTATTTCTTTTATTTTATTTTAGGAGATGGGATCTCACTCACTCTGCCACCTGGGCCAGAGTGCAGTGGTGTGATCATAGCTCACTGCAGCCTCAAATTCCAGGCTCAATCAATCCTCCCACATCAGCCTCCTGAGTAGTTGGGACTATAGGTGCATGCCACCATGCCTAGCTAATTAAAAAATCCTTTTCTTGTAGAGATGGGATTTCACTATGTTTCCAAACCTGGTCTCGAACTGTCCTGGCCTCAAGTGATCCTCCCACCTTGGCCTCCCAAAATGTTGGGGTTACAGGTGTGAGCCATTGCATTTGGCCGAAGTCCTTCCTTTAAAGGGGACCTGGGCAGCACATCTCCATAGGAACTCAGTGGGGTCCTGTTCTTGGAAGAACCTGGACTGGTCAGAGGTGGGTGAGTGTGTCCAGACACAAAGAAAAACCTGGGCACAGGAGATTCATGATGGGAGAGACGGCTGTGCAAGATCTGGAAGGGAGAAGAGTGGGCCTCAGTCTCCCCCTCTCCTAAGCCAGAGTCAGCTCTGCTCCAGCTCAGGCACCCTTCACCAGGAGCCAGGTCCAGGGCTCTGCTCTTGTACTGTGTGGTCACAGCGCTCACTACGTCGGTCCGGGAGGGTCTGCAGGCTGGAATCACAGGGCCGTGGAAACAAAGTGCTGATGAAGTGGGCATGGGGAGGGAGCCTGGCTTCCCTCTGCAGGAGAAGGCTGTCTGCCAAGCCCGGCATGCTCTTCATTTGTTCACTGGCCCATCTGCCCACCCATCCACCCACCCATCCGTCTCCTCCTGGAGTAGATGCCGCCTCACTTACCCATGCATTCATTCACGTATTCATTCACTCCTTCATTCAGTAAACACTGCCTGGGCACTGACTGTGTACCCAGCCCTGCCAAGGGAACGAGGGGGTCAACTGGACATTTGGACCCCGTGGACACCTAGATAAGCCTGCAGATAACACACTGTAGGTGCTCGGGGAAGGAAGCGGAGCTGGGAGGAGGAGGCCTTGTGAGTTGGACTTGGAGAAGAGAGGGGACTTCAGAAAGCAGAATTTGGGGGAGGTACTGTGGGCAGGGGGAACAGCATGAATGGGGGTTCTGAGCGCATGTGGGGGAAGGAGGTCGGCAGCTCAGCTTGGCCAGGCACAAGGAGATGAGGCTGGACAAGAGCCGGCTTCTGGGGAAGCGCTTCTGGCCACATCTGGCCAGCACGTTTCCGGGCAGTGGATGACGCGGGCAGCAGAGACGCAGCCTTGCTCGCCAGGCTGGCAGGCCCAGCCTCTGGAGGCACTTGCAGTGTGGCAACATGCTGTCGCTGCAGGGAGGGCGGCTCCTGTATCCGGAGCTGGAGAGAAGGTCCTCGGAGGATGCTAGTGAGGCCAGCCCCACGTGGAGGTGGATCCAAGGGGTGGAAGAAGCCGTCCCAGGAAAGCAGGAGTTTGAAAAAAGAGGGTTGCCAAGGCCAGCACCCTGGAATGGGCTGACAAAGAGAGGGACCGAGGAAAAGCAACAAGAGTTGAGACAGGAAGGTGGAGAGAGTGGGGAGCAGAGAACTGGGGGTGTGGGGTTGCCAGATTTGGCAAATAAAAAGACAAGACATCCAGTTAAATTGGAATTTCAGACAGGTAACGAATTCGTTTTAGTATAAATATGTCCCATGCAATATTTGGGTCATAGTTACACTAAAACATTGTTCATTGTCTATCTGAAATTCAAGTATAACTGGGCACCCTGCATTTTATCTGGCAACCCTATGGAGGGGGTGAGGGTTCGGAGAGGGCGGACCCGCCGGGCAAGAGCACAGGAGGCTGGACAGGGGAGCTGAGATGAGGCTCCTGCACTTTGCAGCATGAGGGGTGACAGTGATGAGGATGCTTTGAGTGGAGGGAAGTGGGCAGCCCCCTACACACGTTCACACCAGATGTGCATGTGGTGTGTGTGTGTGGTGTGTGCATAAACTGTGTGTAGTGTGTGTAGTGTGAGTGCATGTTGTGGTGTGTGTGGTGTGTATGTGATATGTGTGGTGTGTGTGTAAGGTGTATGTGTGTAGTGTGTGTGTTTTGTATGTTAGTGTGTTTTGCGTGAGTGTATGTGGTGTGTATACGGTATAAGTGTGTATATGGTATATATGTGTAAGATGTGTGTGTTCTATGTGTGTAGTGTGTTTTGAGTGTGTATGGTGTATGTGGTGTGTAAGCTGTATGTGTGTAGCGAGTGTGTGTATTTTTGTATGCTGTGGTGTGTGTGTAAGCTGTATGTGTGTAGCGAGTGTGTGTATTTTTGTATGCTGTGGTGTGTGTGTAAGCTGTATGTATGTAGTGAGTGTGTGTGTTTTTGTATGCTGTGGTGTGTGTATAAGCTGTATGTGTGTAGTGTGTGTGTGTTTTTGTATGCTGTGGTATGTGTATAAGCTGTATGTGTGTAGTGAGTGTGTGTTTTTGTATGCTGTGGTGTGTGTGTAAGCTGTATGTGTGTAGTGTGTGTGTGTTTTTGTATGCTGTGGTATGTGTGTAAGCTGTATGTGTGTAGTGTGTGTGTGTTTTTGTATGCTGTGGTATGTGTGTAAGCTGTATGTGTGTAGTGTGTGTGTGTTTTTGTATGCTGTGGTGTGTGTGTAAGCTGTATGTGTGTATAAGCTGTATGTGTGTAGCGAGTGTGTGTATTTTTGTATGCTGAGGTGTGTGTGTAAGCTGTATGTGTGTAGTGTGTGTGTTTTTGTATGCTGTGGTGTGTGTGTAAGCTGTATGTGTGTAGTGTGTGTGTTTTTGTATGCTGTGGTGTGTGTGTAAGCTGTATGTGTGTAGTGAGTGTGTATGTTTTTGTATGCTGTGGTGTGTGTATAAGCTGTATGTGTGTAGTGTGTGTGTGTGTGTATTTTTGTATGCTGTGGTGTGTGTGTAAGCTGTATGTGTGTAGTGAGTGTGTGTGTATTTTTGTATGCTGTGGTGTCTGTTGGTCCCAGGTACTCCTGCCATTCTCCCCAGTGCAGCCTGCTGTGTAAGAAGTGGGAGGGGCCCAGCAACAGAGCAGCGGAAGCCTCTCTCTGTGACAGTGGCCTCTTCTACTGTCCTCAAGGGCAGGAGGTGGCCGTGCAGGGACAAGACTGAGGCTGGCGCCAACATGCAGCAAAGCCAGGAGTGCTTATCTGGCGGCAGTGAGGGAAGCGGCTGTGCAAGGTCACCCTGGAATCTGGGGCGGAGCCACACTTGCACTCAGGCCTCCCAGCTTCCAAACCGAGCGTTCTCTCCATTCATTCTACTTCTCTTGCTGGTTCCATTTACTGGACTGACTGACTGACTGACTGACTGACTTATTTATTTATTTATTTATTTATTTATTTATTTATTCATTGAGACAGAGTCTGGCTCTGTCACCCAGGCTGGAGTGCAGTGGCCAGATCTCGGCTCACTGCAAGCTCCGCCTCCGGGTTCACGCCATTCTCCTGCCTCAGCCTCCCGAGTAGCTGGGACTACAGGCCCCCGCCACCACGCCCGGCTAACTTTTTGTATTAGTAGAGACAGGGTTTCACCGTGTTAGCCAGGATGATCTCGATCTCCTGACCTCGTGATCCTCCTGCCTCGGCCTCCCAAAGTGCTGGGATTACAGGCGTGAACCACCGCGCCCGGCCCATTTACTGGACTTTTATGACACACTAGGCACATCGTGCTTCCTCTGTGTCCTCTCATGAGTGTTTACAGCAACTCCATCGCCTCCATTCTACAGATGAGGGAACCGAGCCCCCACGCTGTGAGCCACTTTGGGCGAATACCAAATCTGCAGAACAATGCTAAGCTGTCATTTTCCTCCATAAGTGATATCTGCACCCAGCCAATTCTCAGGGGCCCTGTTCATATCTTCAGGAGGAAGGGAGCCAGGGGATCTGATTTGCCCCAGGTTCACCTGAGCAAAAGCCTTGCTGGCACCTACCCATCTGCTTTTTTTTTTTTTTTTTGAGACAGAGTCTGGTTCTGTCGCCCAGGCTGTAGTGCAATGGTACGATCTCAGCTCACTGCAACCTCTGCCTCCCGGGTTCCAGCGATTCTCGTGCCTCAGCCTCCTGAGTAGCTGGGATTAAAGGTGCACACAACCGCCCCTGGCTAATTTTGTATTTTTTTTTGCAGAGTCGGGATTTCACCATGTTGGCCAGGCTGGTGTCAAACTCCTGGCCTCAAGTGATCCACTGGCCTTGGCCTCCCAAAATGCTGGGATTACAGGTGTAAGCCACCACATCCGGCCCCATCTGCATCTTTGACTTGAAGAAGAAGCAGGTCTTTGCCCTCTAC